TCAGCGCGGTAATGCAATACGTTACCCAATGTCTGGAGATCCAACAGGTGTTCACACCAGTCTACCATCCCGCTGCAAATCCAGTTGAACGAAGAAATCGAGACTTAAAGACTCAGCTTTCCATACTAGTCGGGCCGCACCATACTACCTGGCCTAAGATGCTACCGGCGATACGTTTCGCCATGAATACTTCACGTTGTCAAGGAACGGGCTGCACCCCGGCTCACCTAGTCTTTGGACACGAACTTCGACATCCCTTCGAGATAATAAACGATTTTCGAAGCATCATCCAGAGGGAAACATTCGTCCAGGAGGCTACCCCCAAATTGACGAAATTAGCTGACCTGTTCGAGAAAGCTAAAGAAGTTTGGGAACAGCAGCAGGATCGACAAAAACAATACGCGGATGCGCACCGTCGCCCATCCATTGAACACGCCATAGGAGACTTCGTCTGGGTCACCGATCATTCCTTGAGCAAGAAAACGAAGAAATATTCCAAGAAGTTGGCTCCTAGACGAGACGGGCCCTACGTAATCACGAAACGCCACGGCCCTTGCTCATACCAAATCGCCGACCCGTTGAAGCCCACGGAACCACTAGGAGTGTACCACAGTTCCGCTCTCACACCGTATCGCCCTCCAGAGAACGGACCCCCGACGGACCTACCCCGGCCAGTTCAACCCATCCGGAAGCGGGGACGTCCCAGGAAACACCCGTCCACAGAGTCCACAGCCGGGGCGACTTCAGGACTCTGAGGGGGAGATTGTAACACCCCATAATAGCGGCCCACGCGTAGTTCCAAAACTCTCCGTAATACCGCATTCCAGGGAGCCACCCGGTCCGCAGAACGGCGTTATCCCCACCAGCGCACGCCCACTCCACCACCGCGCGTGACGTAACGCGCCTAGAGGCCTTAAAAGACGCGCTCCCAGGGCTGAGGAGTCAGTTCTGCTCGAACTCCTCTAACCTTCTTCGACTTGCTTCCTACGACGAGGAACTATAAGGAAAGGTTTAGGAATCTCATGCAACCGACGCCCTTATGCTAACGCTTTCTTCTAGCTGCTTCCAAGCGTTGGGACAGTAAAGGAAAAGCCCCGTATTCGGCACAGTCGTATCGCACGGATAGAGCGTTACTACGAATAAGCTGCTACGCCTATTTTTCAAATCTTTACGTTTTATATCTGTTTTGTTTTTCGTTCGCTTTATGATAATAAACCGTTTTCTACAAACTACTCGCCTTGAGTCTAAATAAAAAGAATACCTGAGCCCGAACACCCCGAGGTAACCCAAGTGTTACACTAGTAGATATCTGACTAAAGGTAAAAGTTGAACAATAGTTTTTCAACTATTTTTCAATAGTAAAGTTTAATTTTTCTTTTGTTTAATATTACTAAGAAACAACTTATTCCCAAAGAATTTAAACTACTTTAATTTTATTAAGTATACCTATCACAGTTTTTTCAATGCGAATCTCGTTTTTGCCTCTTAGGATTTTAAAAATACCCTTTCCTTCCACGTTGATGAAATAAATAAATATTTAGTAGGTATCAATTATTTTTATTAACTGGATTGAATTACATTACAATAACTTAAACTTTTGCTAGTCCGGCTACTACAGAAGATTCAAAGCCACATTCATTTCTACCTCTCACTATTCTAAAAAGACCTTTTTCTCCCCAATCTTCATTCCAAGAGTTTGCTACAAGCCAATAAGGAAGTTTGGAAGCTTCGTCGACTCCCCAACCCAAAATTCTGACAGCATGACCAGCTTCAGGTCCACCCGATACATGTTGATAAACTCCTTTTTAAGAAAAAAATAATATAGAAATGTTCAATAGATATCTGAATAAACCAATCTTACCGCTCTTGTAGTTAAGAAAATCGCTGTAAACGTCAAAACTTGCAACAACAGGTCCGTTTTTCATTATTTCTTTTTGGATATTTTCTACCGATTCGAAGAATTGCGCTCCAGTTTCACCGTAAGTCTTTTCAGAATTGTAATTCAGGCCTTCCACCGAACATTTCCTTGCACATCCTGGTGTTTCATAATCAATTGATGTACACGGTATGTATTTACCGGTAACGTGATGGTCGCAGGTTTTCATTGAGTAAGGTCTGCATCCCTATTAAAACGAAGCAGTAAATAAAAACTTTTTAACTTTTATTTTTAAATAAATTTACCTGATTGGAATCATACAGCCCTCCAGTAACAAGACCAAATGTGCGCCAATACTCAAAAGATATTTCTGGCAATCCTCCATCACAACCGTTTCCACAATCCTGGCAGCAAGATAAAAGATCTAAAGCAGAGACTGGTACGGTAAGATTTCCATTTGATTGGATGCATCTTCTATCGCTCATTACTGATGCTGCTGCTACAGCCTAAATAGAATTAAACTGTTAATTTGTTTTTACGTTAGGTAACTACGTTTTGACTCACCCAGCATGAACCACAGGCAGATTGATCGACAATGGTACTAATAACGTTTTGACATTTGCTGAAACTATTACGAGCATCAAAAGATTCTGGAATGTCCATGTACTCAGGGTGAACAGTAGGTTTGTACTTAAGACTCAAATCTGATTTACGAGCTCCAAAAAGGTTTCTAATGTCCCTCATGGTTGTTTCCTTGGGAAAGTTTCTACCGGCTACCCATGAATTTTGTTTGCTGTTAATTAAATCGATGAATTCGTCGGATAATGGATCAATTTTTCCAAGTTCGAATGCAATTGCACTCGATATCAAGCAAATAACGGATAGAGCTATTTTCATTTTGGTATATTTTCTAAAATATGTTATTTTGAACAATAAAATAAATATAATAAAAAATTTAAAAACCTTACCTTCTACTTTTAAGGCAAATCGAAGAATGGAATTAAGCTTATCAAATATTTTATTTATGTATCTGAGGAACAAAATAAAAGATCCTTTTCTATAATCTCAAATATTTCGAGTGTCATGATCTACGAATTGATAAAATATTTAACATGTAATCTTAACTAAACACATTCATTGTTTGCCTACGTATCGATTGTTGCTATTGTTGCACGATTATGAATTTCTTCTTCGATCATTAGATTAGATAGGTACAACTGATACAGACAAACAAAATGTGCTCCTAATATTGGCCACTTGAAAATGTTTTTATGTAGATATTCATGATTGTATTTAATAATTGACATCCTTATATTTTTTATGGTTTTGTATAACAAAGAATATCTTTATCATTCACATATTTATCGTAATTTTGTTATCTTATTGGCTTTTATATAGGAGACTATGGTTAAATTACCAAATTCCGTCAAACTTTTACTTTGATGAAATAAAAAAATATTTAGTATTAATTATAATATTTATTAATTATGTATATTGAATACATTTAATAATCTAGACTTTAGCTAATCCGGCTACTACTTGTGATTCAAAGCCACATTCATCTGTACCTCTCACTATTCTAAAAAGACCTTTTTCTCCCCAATCTTCATTCCAAGAGTTTGCTACAAGCCAATAAGGAAGTTTGGAAGCTTCGTCGACTCCCCAACCCACAATTCTGACAGCGTGACCACCTTTATAGCCACCAGCTACATGTTGATATACACCTTTTAAGATAAAATAACTTGACAAATGCTCAATACTTTTCTGAATTAGAAAATCTTACCGCTCTTGTATTGAAGGAAGTCACTGTATACATTAAATGATGCTACAACTGGACCGTTACTCATAATTTCTTTTTGGATATCTTCCAATGAATGAAAGTATTGCACTCCGGTTTCACCGTAAGTGTTTTCAGATTTGTAATCCAAACCTTGCACTGAACATGTTCTTTTACAAGCAGGTGTGTCATCAAGACCTGATGGACATGGTTCGTATTTACCGTTAACATGATGGTCACAATTTTTCATGGAGTAAGGTTTGCATCCCTAATAAAACGAATCAGTAAAGAAAAATTCAATATAATTAGTTTTAAATACATTTACCTGATTAGAATTATATGATCCTCCAGTAACAATACCAGTTCTTCTCCAATAATCAAAAGCTCTGTCTGACCATCCTCCTTGACATCCGTTTCCACAATCTTCGCAGCAAGATAGAAGATCTAAAGAAGAAACAGGTACGGTGATATTTCCATTAGATTGAATGCACCTTCTATCGCTCATTACTGATGCTGCTGCTACAGCCTAAATAGAATTAAACTGTTAATTTATTTTTACGTTAAGTAACTACGTTTTGACTCACCCAGCATGAACCACAGGCAGCCTGATCGACAATGGTACCAATAACGTTTTTACATTTGCTGAAACTATTACGAGCATCAAAAGATTCTGGAATGTCCATATACTCAGTGTGAACAGTAGGTTTGTATTTAAGACTCAAATCTGATATACGAGCTCCCAAAAGGTTTCTAATGTCTCTCATGGCCGGAAAGTTTTTGCCGGCTACCCATGAATTTTGTTTGCTGTTAATTAAATCGATGAATTCGTCGGATAATGGATCAATTTTTCCAATTTCGAATGCAATTGCACTCGATATCAAGCAAAGAACGGATAATGCGATTTTCATTTTGGTATACTTTCTAAAACATATACTTTTTTGTATGAAAAATAAATAAATAAAATATAAATATATAAATATATAAAATTAATATAATATATGAAACTTACTCAAAAAAACTATTAACAAAATGAACTATATCTATCAACTTGCGTTATTTTTTATAGATCTGATGAAACAATAGATTTTTTTTTAATAGATACCTAATCAATCGTAATGATTGATTGGGAGCAAAATCTAATACGTAAAACAACTAGATAAAATTGTAATTGTCCGCTTTAAGATATTATTAAGTAGGTTGATATTCACAATTGAATTTCATGTTCTACATCATTATAAATATTGGTTTTATAGATTTGCATCCCTAGTAAAACAAATCCGAAGTAAAAAAAATATATTCTATGTTCCTGATTGTGATAGGAATGAAGGAGGAAAAAGATGCATTGGCAGTCGAATAAGGACCACCTAACAATAGAAATTGCTGCAAATTATAGAATCATCTGATAAAGAAAACTATATGAATGAATCAGTAATAGAAGGGCGAATGAAAAATTCTAATTTGCAATAAACTAAAATAATTTTATTAATAACCATTTACAAATTATTACAATTTAGGCAATGCTGCGAACACCTCGCTTTCGACACCGCATTCGTTTTTACCCCTTACTATTTTAAAGAAGCCGTTTTCACCCCAATTTTCATTCCACGAATTCGCCATTATCCAGTAAGGAGTGCCTGATTCAAAGTCAGTTCCCCATCCAATTATTCTCGCGGTGTGGACACCCAATTTCGGTCCAGTAACGTGTCGATAGACACCTAAAACACCACTAGTAATTGGATTTCTACGAAATTAACAAAACTTACCAGATGTGTAGGTAATGAAATCGCCATATACATCGAAATTTGCAGTTACAGGCCCGTTAGAAAGGATTTCTTTTTGTATGTCTTCAACGGAATTAAACCACATAACTCCGGTTCTCCCGAAAGTTAATTCAGATTCGTAATCTAAATCACTGGTATTATTGCATTTCTTAACGCACTCAGGTGTTCTTAAATCGTTCATTGCTGAACAATTCGTGTAACCAGTGTTAATATAATGGCTACACATTGGTAAAGTATACGGTTTACATCCCTAAAAAGTTTTTGAATATTCAATACAATAGGGTATTAGGAGTAATAATGTATGCTGTAAAAATATCCTACTTACAGAATTACTGTTGTAACGACCTCCTGTTACTATACCATGCGTAGCCCACCAGTTGAAAGCCTCGTCTACCAATCCTGCGACGCAACCGAACCCGCAAGGTGCACAGCAGGACATTAAATCTTCAGCAGAAACGGGAGTTCTCAGTAAACCTTTGGATGCAATGCAACGCCTGTCGCTCATCACTGAAGCTGCTGCAGAAGCCTTTATGGCAATTACATGACATTGATTAGAAAAGGAAATTACAGGATTAACGAAATTAGAAATATGTACTCACCCAAGATGCGCCGCAAGCAGATTGGTCTGCTATTGTGTCAATGATATCGTAGCAGTATGGAAATGCTATTCGTGCATCGAAGAAATCGGGGTAAAAATTCAAATCTGGATTAATTGTTTTTTGATACTTGTATAATGGATAAGAATTTAGAGTTGCAAATGGTCTCTTGATTTTATTCTGCTTCAATTCGTTGAGGAAATCAACATTCTCTTTCCATGTTACTGATGGTACAGAAGCCTGAGTGTTTTTATTTTGAGTTTTCTCTTCGTTTGTAGTAGAGGAAATATTTGATGTTACCAAGTTATTATCACTGTGTTCATTTATATTGGTCAAATCATTTCTAAAAACTGACTTAGTTTGTATCAAATCTTGATGAACATTATGTTGGAGATTTATTTTGGATTTTAGATTTTTATTGTCATTTCTAAAATTGGAGTTATTTTCATTTATTTGTTCATCAGTAGTTTCTCTTGCGAATTGTTCGTCATCGCTGTCTTCCTTTATACCGTTCTTGTAACTTCTAAGAGAAGAACTATTTGATTTTTTCTGTTCAATTTGGTTCTCATCCACTGAAACCGCTAAATTTTCTTCGGCTGTTTTCCCTCGATTAACCCATCTTCCAAAAATATATTTGGGTATATCTAGCAAATGACGACTGAAATTTCCCAATTGTTCCTTAGTTTTTTCTAAAAACGATGATTTATCAGTTGTTTCTTGGCTTGCATTATTCTGCTTCAATTCATTGAGGAAATCATCATTCTCTTTCCATATTACTGATGGTACAGAAGCCTGAGTGTTTTTATTTTGAGTTTTCTCTTCGTTTGTAGTAGAGGAAATATTTGATGTTACCAAGTTATTATCACTGTGTTCATTTACATTGGTCAAATCATTTCTAAAAACTGACTTAGTTTGTATCAAATCTTGATCATCATTATGTTGGAGATTTATTTTGGATTTTAGATTTTTATTGTCATTTCTAATATTGGAGTTATTTTCATACATTTGTTCATCAGTAGTTTCTCTTGCGAATTGTTCTTCATCGCTGTCTTCCTTTATACCGTTCTTGTAACTTCTAAGAGAAGAACTATTTGATTTTTTCTGTTCAATTTGGTTCTCATCCACTGAAACCGCTAAATTTTCTTCGGCTGTTTTCCCTCGATTAACCCATCTTCCAAAAATATATTTGGGTATATCTAGCAAATGACGACCGAAATTTCCCAATTTTTCCTTAGTTTTTTCAAAAAACGATGGTTTATCAGTTGTTTCTTGGTTTGCAGTAATCGAGTTTGATGCATCACGAGTATGTGCTAATACACACGAGAACAAAATTGTGATATACACGATTTTCTTCATATTCATTAAACAAAACAAATCGTTGCTGTAATTACAAAAATATGACTAGGATAGAAAAATTTTACATTACCTCATTTATACGTTTTTTTTGAGAAACATGATTTTTCATGCTTATGCCTCTAATTTTTTCCAGTAATAAAATTAATGGAAAAAATACGCTAGAGATTAAAATCTATAATTTTACTACGTGTTAATATCGAACAAACTTCATTGGAGGATTCAGAATTTTACTGCAACTGTAGCAAATCAATGGCTTTTCTACATTAGTTTTAGTCTGAATTGGTAACTGTTATACTGCGAAATTTGAATTTATTGTGCAATTTTTTTAATTTAAGTATTGGATTTTTACCTTGCATTAGAGTACCTATATAATATTATCTCTAATTTGTTTCGTTAGATAGGTATTCCCATAAAATTAATTTATGCATGAATACTTGAGATAAATAAAATGTAAATTCATATAAACTTTTAGGACATGTGTGTATTGCATTTTATACCAGGAAATGCCTAACGAATGTCCAGTAGTAAAAGCGCAGAAAATATTTTTTTTTGAAAAATATTTAAGCTTATCAAAGCGACCTTCATTTTCTTTACATATTTAGGAAATGTTTATGCTCAGTAATAAATCTTGATAAGGGAAATTCTTCTAATAGTTTTCAAGTTATTTCTAATAAAAAGGAGCGACAACTTTGACAAACAATAATAAACATCGCAGAAATGTTACTACTGAATATTATAGTTTTTGTTTGTACCTTTGCGCGAGTAGTGTCTGGGGCTGTTTTCGAATCATCAATTCGAAATGCTGTAAGTTTCATTAATCCCGAAAAACCCTCAAATTTTACGTTAAAATTGCTTCAACATCGCAATTTTAGAATAAAAACTACCAGAAATTAAAGATAGAAGACGGATACGTTAAAGGTACTATTCAAAAGCTTTTAAACCCCAAGAAATCGGTCTACGCCTTTAGGGGAATCCCGTACGCAAAGCCACCCGAAGGAAAACTCAGATTTGAAGTAACGTAATTTTATTTAATGCGTATTTCGTTTAAAATGTTGAACTTTTCAGCCCCCGGTAAAAAATGACAAATGGAACGGCGTTTTGGACGCAACTAAGGACAGATCAGAATGCGTTCAAGGTTCTACTAACGTTACAGGCTCCGAAGATTGCCTTTACATCAGCGTATACTCACCAAAAGTTAGTACACTTTACTCGAAGCTTTATTCGAATAAAATTACCTCTAAACCCCTTCCAGCTCGATGGAAATCTACCGGTATTGGTATGGATTTACGGCGGGGGCTTTATCGGAGGCTCCTCATCCTACGATTACTACACGCCCGACCCCATTTTGGAGGAAGAGAACGTCATATATGTGGCCATGAACTATCGCATTGGCATTTTCGGTTTCATGAGTACCGGAGACAAAGTGGTACCTGGCAACATGGGCTTGAAAGACCAGTGTTTAGCTTTGAAATGGGTGCAGAAAAACATCAAACATTTCGGCGGCGATCCCGATAAAGTTACCATTTTCGGAGAGAGCGCAGGTGCAGCTTCGGTTTCTTATCAGCTTCAATCGGAATGTTCTAAAGGTAAATTTAAATCAATGCTAATCATCAAATACTCAGCTACACGAAACAACTTCCGTCGATATTCGCTTAAATTTGGTTTATTCAATAGGCTTGTACAGGTCCGCTATAATGCAAAGTGGCAATTCGTTGTGCTTGTGGTCGTTAACCAGAAATGCAAGCTACGTTGCCTTCGAAACAGGCCGTGGATTGGAGATCAATACATCAGATTCCAAGACATTAGTGGAAGAACTGAGGAAAGTTCCTTACAAAAAGTTACAACAAATTTCCGTCATAACAGGAACCGCAACGGTAAGTTCTATGTTGTTTCATCGTTCAGCATTAACTTGACTGTTTTTATTGCAGCTTGTCAAAAATAATCCACTGGCTGGTTTGGTTTTTAGTCCCGTAATAGAACCTCCTCATGAAGGTGCATTCTTCAGTTCATACAGCCATCAGCTGCTCTCTGAAGGAAAGTTCAATCGAGTGCCGGTTATCATGGGAATCAATTCGAACGAAGCAAATGTGATAGACGATATACCACGTAATTAATTACGGTTCTATTACGTTGCAGCGTCTAATACACATTTTTTAGTTATTATTGACATCTTTCTGGAAGCGTATGATATCGATTACTCAAACTTAGCTCCTGCTGATCTGACAAATAATTCTTTAGATCGGGATACTGCTGGTTTTTCTATAAGGTTTTATTATTTCTCTCTTTTGCCTATAGGCGTCCAGGAGAAAAATGTAATCAGAGTAAGAAACGAATCAATTTTTTTTGAATATATTGGTTTATGTAATACATTTGTTTCTTTATAGTTCGCCAGCGATGATCAATTCAATAGACCGACTAGAGAAGCAGTGATTCAGATGTCGAAGTATGTACCAGTTTATTTCTATCGGTTCTCATACAAGGGAAATTTGGGTGCTGGAGCCAATTCTAGTTATACAGGTAAGAGATATGTTTAAGGATGAGTTTTCGAATTTGCTTACACTAGAAATGGTGTTTCAGGCGTAGGTCATGGTGAAGATCTCGGTTATTTCTTCAAGAGTACTAATGAAGGTAACTCCACTCACGACGATCGGTTAATGAGAAAACGCCTGGTAAAGTTGTGGACGAATTTCGTAATACATGGGTAAATTTTCTTTAGGAATTCATCATTTGATAGGTAATAATTGTTTTTTTTAGAAAACCTACTCCCGTAAAAGACCCGTTACTTCAGAATATCCAGTGGAAAGAAGTCGGAAAAGATCCTAAACAATTAACGTTCTTGGATATAAACGATACGTTAAAGCTCTCGACAAATCCATTCAAAGACAGCATGGACTTTTATGATGTAATTTATAACAAATACGGATCACCGCCGTATGACACTTACTAAATTGCTGGAAATCTTATAATTGCAAAATGAATAAAATAATTCTGATATAATAAATGAGAGAGTCATTAGTTTTTGAATTTAGGATATTTACAGTACTTCGTAAATATAGGCATATTATATTATTTAACAATAATTAAAAGTTCGAGAACTGCATCGAGAAATACAAAAAATAAATTATAGGATTTACATAGAAACAAACGACGTTTTTCAGAATAAGAAGATAGTTTGGCAACGTCGCTAAAAACGATCTTTAATACCACCAATTCTTAATGCGATTGGTTAATGACTTGTAACGTATTTCAAACTTTAAAAATTAATTGTGGCGTTAATAGAAAACGGAGAAAATTAAAAATTTCACCAATGACTTCATAAGAATACGTAGTTTTATAAAAAAATTAAAAAAAAGTCGCACTCTTCTCCATTCTTTGGTGCAGAACGATCGCAGTAAAAAGGAGTTCATAGAAAAGCAAATAGTTAAGCATTACTATTTTATTGAAAATATTTAAGAAATGAACACTACTGCTTAATAAATATAACCATAACTATTTCTATAAATTTGGTATAAGAGTGCTTACGAATTATAAGAGAAGTAGAACAATAAATCTTTCCGTCCATTCAAATTTGAGTTTTACATTGCAAATTTTCTACTTTATCCAATAAAAAAGATGAAACCAGACAAACCTGTTTAATTTAAATAATATTTCGACAAATTGGACCGCTTAATTTGATGATTTTCATTTCGCTAAATTAATCATCGCCTTTAATTTTATCTTAGTTTGAGCTAATAATCATTTACATATAAAACATATCACAGTAACATAAAATGAAGCATATTAATATTTAAAAGAAATGAAATCTAATCGTATTCGTGACTGCTTTCTCTCTGCCCCAACAATGCATCCTTTTCCTCTTCTGTTACTTCCGTAAATGTTTGCTCGTGTAATGGAATTTTCACTATCCTCGAATTGATTTTCTTCAAACCTTCCGTCACACCACTCTCGGTTAATCTGCGAATTACAATAAATTAAAATGTTCATTAACCTACGCGAATTTTTACTTACATTTCAACCTCATCATCGTCATCTTCATCATCGAAAGCGAAATAAGGATTCTGAGAAGCAGGTCTGAACTTGTAAGCGGTGAGAACGAAAAACACATAAGTGGCCATTTCCTTGAACATTTCGTGTAACCAACCGTATTGAAAGGGAACGGTTATTTTCAACAAGTAAACGATGATCCTAGTCGAGTATATGTAACACACAACCATTACGTAAAAATGACGGAACAATTTCAATTTTCTCAGATTCAAAGCGGCTTTGCCGTCAGTCTGCGAAGCTTCTTGCAAATGTCTGATAGACCACACGACAGGAAACAAAATGCATCCTAAACACACTAAATCGATTAAAGTGGCTAAATTCTTCCACGTCGTATACTCCCTAGAGCTTTCTTCGCTTTCTTCCAATATTATTTCGGCAACGTTTACGAGTATCTGCAGCGGTATAACCACCAAAAACACCTTTTTATCTCTAGGAGAGAGAACGTGTTTGATGAACGTCCATCCCGTTCCGACGAGGCCCAGCACAACGAACAGAACGGCTCCTTTCAACAAGTGCGCTATGTAAAATAGTATAGCCCACGTGGCTAAATGCACTCCGAGCTGCTCGATATAATGATAATTCACTCCGTGGAAAGCCAACGATAGAGCTTTCAAGAAAACCAACACGGCCATGAGATAATGCAGTTTGAATACAGGGTGTTTGGATTGTTTTAATAAGAACACCCAGAACATGCCGGAGAGCAGGAAGAGTATCGATAACATGCAATAAAGAGCGGGCAATGGCATGTCACCGGCCGATAGAAAACTACTCGGATTGTGCTCGACGATGTGTATGTTGAAATCCACGTGAATATCATTATTGTTTAGCTTATCGAATTGCGGGCAGTTGTAGAATATCAAGTTGTATAAACCTTCCTCTTCGATTGTTCTAATGTACAATACAAACTGAAATTTAATACCAAATATTAATTGTATAATTAATATTAAGAAGTGTATACTTACGGAGGTATTATAGTAAGTTTTACCATTGATGGTGTAAGGTATTAGGTTCAATTTCAAATCAGTACAATCTACTTTATCGTTTATCAATATTTTTTTATTGCTCTCAATGTAATCGTACTCATCGTCTTCATCATCTTTCTCGGAAATGTGAATGTGCTTCTGTTTGCCGGCACATCTTACATCGAGCCTGCAAAATAAACATTGTAATGATTTTATTAAATGAGCCTCGAATGCTGTACCTGTTATTTTCACGGTTCAAAATAAAATAGATTATTTCCTCGGTTTGGGGCTTATTCAACTTTTCTTGCAAAATGCAGTGTTCTTCATGTCCCTCGAGATAAGGGTTTACTCCATCATTTATCGTTTTATCCAGGCTGAAACCAAACTATTTGGAGGTTTAGAAAGGATAATAATAACTTTAAATTTGAAGTTATTGGAATGGGAATTCCAATGAGCAATTAACCTTTAACTTTGGCCATTAAACCGATTTGTTTAATAGAAAATACATTAGAACGCATTGATATGTAATCAAACAATTTCTAAATACTTACTATAGATGAATTATTTTTGATATCTGTAGTAAAGTTCGTGAGTTGGACACTCAAATATCCTCCCATGAAAAACCCGAAATTGCTTAATGGAATATATTTGCGGGCATCGTTCTGTAAAGAAAATAAAATCGTATAAAAGTAATTGTAGATTTATCGCATGTTCGATTAAATTAACTCTTACCGTAATTTGTAAAGTATGTTTCCTTGCCCAACAAAGGGTGACTGCGGCAAATATTGTAAAAATCTTGATTATAAAATTCATTGTAGATGTCAATTCTCGATCGAATTAGCTCAGTACAGAAATTATCATTTTATTCGCTAGAATTTTGGATAGCACCTGAGTAATTTTTAGTATAATGAACGAGAAAATTTAAAGCTTTTTCACACTTTTTTCTACTTCACGACTTGACATTTACTTCGCACAAATAAATATGGCCATATTTGACACTTAATGACATCTGTCAGTTCATGACAGTTGGCAGAGTACGTTCGAATTTACTACTCCGCTTTCATTTGTGAACCTAATAGTTATGCAACTATCACTACAATAATATTTTTTTTAATTATCCCGTTGCAAAAACAATACGTGTATGGTAATTTTTAATTACTAATCGTCATAAACAACATTTTAAAATTAAACTTGCTATGAAGAAAGATATAGGTAACGCGATTTTAAAATTTTTATTTTGTATGTAGGTATAAACATTTTAATCGTAAGTATAAACCTAATTATACAAATAGTTTACTAGGAACAAGTACACTATTATTTTGAACATACATATTATCTTTACAGTCTATATTTACTAAAAAAAACGACATTAAATGGTTCATTAAGTTTATACTAAATGTGCCATCCAATGTGGTTTCATCTTAATCATTTAATCAGTTTAAAAAAAATATCTCACAGTTTAAAATATGGTAATATGCCATTATAATTAATAATATTTTATACTCGAATATTTATTTTGTACATTGCGTTCTCAGACCGGAGTCCAATCCGGTCTACAGGGCTTGTATCAAACACATTTTTGCTGCGTTATCGTCGTCGTTGCAGTCGGTTGGGGGGTTTTTACAGCGCCTCTCTTCAGATCGTAACTTCGGAGTCTCAACGTTCTCAGCAACGTATTTCTGAAGTCCTCAGAAAACGAACAATATATGTAAAAGGTGATGGAATAGTTGGTTATTTCCAGAAGATTAGCGACTGCTCGAAACACCTGAAACAGAATATAATATTCTCAATTCCAGTAGATTTATTGGAAGAAGATAAATTTTACCTGGTATGGATAATATACAAGGTTTGCATCTGATAAGGTCACATTCAACAAAACCATGGGCGTTACGCAGACCAAGAACAATATACTTGTAGATCCCAATAGCAAAACCAATCTTCTTTCTTCGGCGAATTTCTTCGGATCCTCCTCCCCGGAGCATTTCCTGCTCAGCGTCATTTTCCTTCGCTTATCGCACGATCTTCTGTATACAATTAAAATCCTCAAGTTCAACGCAGCCAGCAAAATAACCGGCAGCACTTTGTAAATAAATTCCAATATTACTTTATACACACTGTACAAGGGACTCATCAAATACTCCGTATCTTCGACTCTCTGGTAGATAATAATTCCTTTCGGCAGGAATTGACAAGTTCTGACTCTATTGCGGAACAAATTCGGAATGTAAAGTATGAGAGTTATCAAAGGAATGACGGTAACGACTCGAATGGGAGAACCCAATATGGGTCTAGCGTGGCCCGGATGGCACACGCTGACATATCTCTCCAACGTCAAGGCCAGGAGCATCAGGACTCCCACGCCGAGGCAGCCGTTGCCGAGGAAGAGCTCCAGATGGGCGAAGTAGTAAGCTGAAAGCGGTTGTTCCCAATGGCCTTGTTCGCGATGCACGAGCACCCTCCAAGCGAACGGCAATGCGAAGCAAATTGCCAGCAGCGCTGCGCCTGAGTATCCTGAAATAAAAAGTAATGTTATAAGTTGCCGAATCGGTTGTGTGTAGGTGTGTTGGGTGAACTCTTTGGTTGGGTCATCGATTCTTATTTTTGCTGCAGATAGCAAATTTCTGTTGTAACATTTTCATGTACCTACGCATTTATTCCTCAATCTACGTTAAAATTCATGGTAAATAACCTTTCTCTATCTCTGTATAAAATAAATAAAGATGGAATTTTAACTCGAAATCAATTAGGTATTTCTAATTTATTTCTGACCTATTCATTTTCAATATTCTAAGCGGATCGTTTATAGAACCCTTTTGTGATCGATATTTCTAAAATTGAGTTCCTTTGCCTACTAACAAGCCGAATGGAAGTTAATTCAATCTAAACTTTAGTTAAACTATATTATAGAGGATGTAGATAAAATTACCATTGACTATTATACACTGGCATAGTTTAATAATGGTTATTTTAAAATAAAAAGCAATATTTAAACAATTTATTTAACATATTAGTACAAACAAATAACAAAATTAGATTTAAATTAGCGTTTTTCTATTACATGTTTCTGTGATTTTGTAATATATTGCTGCAACGATTCCGAAATCAGCTCCTTTGGAGGTATCTTTATGAGATGGTTTCGTCCTACGTGTAACATCTTTAAATTCGGTAGAGTGCCAAATATGGGACTTATGGTTTTCAAATTGTTATAGTCCAAATACAATACTTGTAAATTAGGTAATTTTCTGAACGTGAATTTGTAAATTTTAGAGATGCCATTGTTGCTCAACATCAACGTATTCAACGTCACAGAGGCCATTAGGGATGATCGTTTCGGTATAGCTATTTTGTTATCAGAGGCTATAAGTTTTCTCGCATTCGGTGCGATTCTAAACATTTTACTCGGCAATCTCCTAATCCTGTTTCCCGAAACGTCGATTAACTGGACGTTGGGCAACGATTTCGCGATCAGTATTGGGAATTTCGTGATATTCATATGGTCCGCGTAGAGAGTGTCCACATTTGAGGCTCTGACGAAGAATTCCTTGTATTTCGAATAGTTAAATCTCGTCTGCATGGCTTTCTTGAAACCCGTCACATCTACGCAATTCATTTCCTGCGGCGGCAGGATCCATTTTTGCACTTTTAAATAACCTGTGTTTCGGATGGAGCACGGTTGACCGTAAATAAACGACGCTTGCAATCCATCTAAGCAATTAAGCCACCTGCGAATAGAAGAAACTTTAAAAGTTTTCAATATGAATTTTCTGTTAGCTCGTCAAAATGCCAGCGGATATTAATAGATCGCCGTAAAATTAATAATAACATATCGCTGAATGTAAATGTGGAAAATCCACTTTATTTTCGGTTGATAACGTAAATTTTATAGCTCAACATGGTAATATTTCAAAGTTAAAAAGGAATTTGGGTAATTAGAAGAGTAAAAAAGTGTTCGGAACGAACGATTTAGTATGAGAGATTATGGGGGTGGTTAGGAAATTTATTTAAAATTTAAATTCTAAATTTTTATTCTATTCCTAATAATTGTAAGTTCAGTCCACATCACACAATTGTGGGAAAAATTTAGAATACTTATAACCTATTCCGTCAAAATATTTACAACAGAAGGATTATCTATTGAAGTAAAGTATATCGGGTATTTAGAAACAAAGAAAAAATAAAATATGCAATGTCAACAATAAAATATAAATAATAAGTAAACAAAATTAACGATGTATAAATATTGAAACAAGCGTTAAAACGCGTCCATTAAAAATTAAATTACTTATTGTCAAAAAACATACTTACAGCAGAAACACACCCAAAATGAACCTCATCTCGAGAAAGTATGTAAGACGACTGTAGACCTTTACACTTTACAAACCATTGCGATTTTCTGTTTACATTAAATAAAATATCTGCATCTGTGCTATATTACGTATTATTTGGGAAGTTGCCAATCGATTTAAATGTATGATTGTTGGGGCGCCGATCATTCATGAATAACGGCATTATTCACGAATAGTAATAATAAGTCCCGGGGCTTCGAAGAAAACCAAATATAACTTGGAACCAAGATCATACTTTAAAATATCTAAGACATTATAACTGTTTTTATTGTACCTACATTTGAGAAATTACAAACATACATACGCACATTACAAATGTACCTTTTGATAACTTGATGATAACAGAGAATTTATTGTTGTAATATGATAAAGACAGATAATAAAGCCTGTTATACCGGTATACCTATTATAATTTATTTGTTTAATATGGAGTGCGCAATTACAATATTTACCTATATCGAATCAAATGTTTCAAGTACTGTTAAGTGTTCATTACCTCTTTTAATAATCATGAAATCAATGTTGCTTTAATTCCAATTTCTTTGCCATCCTTTTTAATATCAAATCTAATAAACTAATAACCATGTATGATTAACCCGGAGCAAGTTTTGCTGTACAATAAAATCAAGCAGAAAAAATAATTAAAACTTCACAATACAAGTGCCTAAATTACGGATTCTGATTATTTAGATGAGACTCTCTGGAACGTAATCCACTTTCCGTTAGTTTTAAGCTAAAAAGCCGTTAAAATTTATTGGTAGCTTTTAAATGGATTTTGCTTATCGCAAGTCGTTAAAGAGTATATTATTCTCATGGGCAATGATAAAATTCTTCCGTCTGTTTCCTACACCCGGGAAAAGAATTTCCTTCGCAATTACGTTCTTTATAAAATTTTCATTAGCAGAAACCCGAATGAATTAGAGAAGTGCATCATTTTGAGTCATTTTATTGGAAAATTTTACCGTAAATTCCGGCGAATTTTCATTGTTCAGTTATTAACTAGCGCCATGGAAACTGAAAATGGAGCCAGTGGATCCGATCCGTAGATGCATATAACACGAGAGCAGGAGTTACGACTGAGAGAAATAAAATTAACTGCAAGTCATAAATTTCCTTATAATCGAACCGCATTCGGTGTTGAACTCGATCCTCATTACAGCCAATGCTACTATTACTTATTATTATCTCCCTCTACTTTTCCAGATAGAGTCAATTCGCATTTGAAAATTCGTATTTCTGGAAATTGCTATACCATGATGTAATGTAGGTATAAAAAAATACCTTCGGACCTAAATATTATTTTGTTATTCGACTTCTCTTTCTTTGGGGTTTTATGATATTGTGAAGACTTTTCGGTGTAATATTTAAAGCGATTTAGCTTATCTTAGTCCGCAGTAATAAAAATGAGCGGTGTATTCTCAACGGAGGAGATATAACTTTTTTCCAACCTACAAGAAGTTCGTAACTATGAGGAAAATTAAAAAACCCACTAATGCAATGTCGCGAAATTTACGTTGAGGTTGGAAAAAACTTTTCCAGCGACCAAAACAGGAATGAACACCCGGAAATGAAGGGAGAAATTAATGTATTTGTTTGGAAATGAACCTAATTTTTCACGACCCAACATTCTTGCCGCGGGATCATTTAATACGGCCTAATTTTATGTGTTTTTTCCTGGAAGAGTTTTTATTGTTTCGCATAAATTTATTAGATTTTTCAACGCTTCCAAATAATAATCTGATTATATAAAAAGTTAGTAAATACTCGAATTAAACAAAAAGGGAACGCGCTTGCCATTCGCAGCTCTTGTACACATACTACATAATAACACAAAACACGTTTTTATCAGATTGTGTGTATTATTTCGTGCGTTTCACATTCAAACGACTTACCTCTCATATAAATGTAAGCTGGCCCTCGCATGTTCCGACGCGTGAGGACAATGAGATTAAAAATATTCCCAATTATGCCGAGGAAGCAAATGGACGGCAGGGCGAACGCGTATGAGTATCTCCGCAGGGTCTCAATTCTGGGATCCTCGTTCAGGTCCGGCTGGTCATCGCTCAAAAAGAAGGCGGTCGATGTGCCGTTGTTGAAGTTGCACGGCAGACACTCCGTCGTGGAGTCGTTTAAGCAGAGCGATTGGGCCCCGGATTCGCTCAAATAGAGAAGAGACATCTTGATGGATTAACCGGCTGTCATCGAAATCATTATCCTTTTTTTGTGATTTATCGTGAACCTGGAAGAAGAGGAAATAAATTATCGCTTCGGCTAATAATAGAAAGAGTTTCCTGCGACCGGTGTCCTGAGTTATGTTTTTTACCGGTGGTCCTGCGTCGATCGATAAGGCGATAAAAATATTAAGCGTACGAAAGAATTTTTCAAAGCGGTTTATAATATACTGACTTTAAGATATAAACATATTCGGTTAGAAACTAACAGGAAACCAACAAATCATCCATTTCCTTGTTACATATTTTCGTATTCTAGGTCTATATTTAGGAAGTAGGCCGAAAGTTGCTACGGAAGTGGAGCAAGACCAAAAGAAATTCTATATTCAGCGCTGAATAGGAGTTTGTTGGGAGTTTGCAAACTTCGTTTTAAGTTCTTCCTTCGGAAATTATAATATTTGCTGTTATTGTTTAAATAAAACCGTTGTATTCTTCACCTTTATCTATCGTTATACAAAGTGTTTTTAGTTATTTTTGTGCAATAAATAATAAAAACGTGTACAGGAAACAACAGCAATGAAAACATTAAAAAGTTGTACACAATATTCGGCGAAGGGAAACGAAAATATTTCTTAATTCTCCATGGATGCACGGTTGGCTTCTTCCAAAGGGAAATAACTCATCCATGAAATGAATATTTAATGTAATTTTAAAGGTATTTTTTAGGGGAAACAAACATGGCAACAAATATTCGTTCGAAATTGAAATAAATTTTCTTGTTTTTTTTCGAATCGCAATTCACCTGCAAAAAATCCCATTGAAATTTTTCATTCGCAATTCCTGCTGCTCCGTAAATATTTCCCATTATAACGCCCTCTACTCGAAGCCAGGTGTCAAGTTTTTTTCAACGATAAAAATCAAAGCCTCAGCAATTCCGAGCAAATTTGCGAAACGCCTATCTATTTTCGAATATGAAATTTGAGCTTATTTCGCATTCGGCGAAACCATCGGAAGGTATGTTTTTCTAAGCCCATACCCAATCGATATTTCTTCTTCCCGAACGGTTCTGCATACGTAATTTCGTGCGGATTCGATGGTTGGCCTTTTAATGTTAATTCAAATAGGTGCCTAATTTGAATTTTTATCAAAGTTCTTTTTCCCATTCGTATTTATACTCGTTTAACGGCCAAACAGCACGGAGCAACGACCGGATAAAACGTCTGCAAAAAATGTGCGGGAGAATCACGACGAATTTTATTCTACCCATATTTTCATTTCATTTAACCAGAACCTGGCGATTTCATGTTTGAGATTAAATTTGTTCCTCTCAAGTCAGCTAATCTTCCGACAATATTTTCATCGATCCGGCCGAATGAGTTAAACGACGTTTTAAAAAGTTTCGTAGACAGCTAAAAAATTTCGTGAAAATTCCGCAATTTACTACGTATTTTCCATTTCTTACGCACAACAATGTCTTCTCGAACATCGATCAAATAGTTGTCGTTATTTTCCGCTCTATTTCAGCGGGTCCTTCCAATCTAGCAACGGAGAAAAACCCTTTCGGAAAGTGTTTAGCGCCGAACAATCCGAAATCCTTTCCGATTCTAATTTTATTAATGACGCTTTACGCGGTTAGAAAATGTAACCGAGGGAAAAAAATCGACCGCAAATAAGTTTTGTTTACGTCGTCGGCTTTGCGCGATGAAGGCAAGACGTTGAAAGATTGATGAAAAACTTTGGGCGAAAAAGTCAGTCACTTGTGACAAACTCGACGACCTCAAAACGTTGTTTGTGTTTTGCATCGAGTGAAAACAAGATGGAAACTGATATAAACACGAAGACGGAAGTTAAATAAATAACGCACACGTGTTTCAATTTCTGCGAAAACCGTGGAAAAACGCAATTCCTTATCGATGGGGCTAAAACGTATTATTTCTCTCAAAATCAATATTTGGTTTGGGGTAAATTTCAACGAGAAGGCTCGTTTGATTACATTAATTAATAAAAGAGTTAAGGATTATTCCCGATTCAACCGTCCACAATGAAAACAAATTTTGCCTTCAATATTTTCCTCGGTTTCTTTACACGCTCTCATAATAACGATTCGGTATTACAAATTTTAAAGAGTCTATAACACATTCATTAAAATTATAGAAAACAACTTGGAGAATTAAATAAATCCAATTTAAAGTCAAATTTAAAATTTAACCAACTAAAGGTATCAATGAAATAGTTAAAAATAAAAATCTACTTTTCTTCCTTTTAACCACTTTCCTAGCTTCCTCCTTCTTAATCCAATTTTTATAAATTGAAAGTCAATTTGAACATCGGAGAGCACCGGAATATAATTTATTTGCCAGGAATAGCAGTCGGCGGTTTTAATTTTAAAAACTTTTTCAGTTTCCCTTTTTAAAAAGAAAAATTGTCTTTCCCCTGCCCGTAGTGCAGATTTATTCTCGAAAACTCTATTCTCGCGTACGTTGTACCATAATAAATCATAGAGTAATACCCGAAAAATGATGTAAACTGAAGCCGCGAAGAAGGAAAAGTTTATTAAACTCGTTTCACGCAAAAGGTTTCGGGTAAGATGAGCCGACGTACGAGATTAATTACGTGGTAAATAATTATATTTTTTCCACCGCCATTTTATATTGTGCTTAATTTATGGTAGGCGGTTTGTTGGTGGATTAATTATTTCATTTACTCATGCGTGAAGGGTTTAATCAAAATTGAGATCGCGGGTCATGAATATTTAATAAAATTATTTTATTTGGTAATAAAAAATGTCTACCTACTAATTTGATGTTCAGTATACCTGCAGGATTTGAATAATAAAACCTGTAATTAATGTTACCTCACGTACAAATAGCGTTACGCTATTTTTACGTATATGATATTCACCATTATTATCGAGTCTTGACATATTGTTAAGGCTGTAGCTAAAAGAATGGAAATAATGGTAGCTCGATATAATCCGAAATAGCGTACCGTTATTTTTACGATAACTAGCAAAAACTCCGATTTCAAAACAAATTTCCATTATTCTCCGCATTTATACTGCGAAAGCCTTCACAGTAGATTGAGTAAATACTTTTAATTATTCTATTAATGAACAACCGAATGTGATGACCAATAATTAGGTAGTCGTTGACACGCTATTTCACGACTTCTCGGGAAAATTGGGAAACACGAATAAAAACAACCGTGGTTATAATTCCCAGAATTATGCCGTGAGTACGAATTAAATACCGCCCGCATAATGGAATTATGTATACGCTAACCATCAGCAATGTATTTTTACGACGTAAATAAACTCTGCAATTACGTAGGGGTATTTACAAAAAAATGTTAAATTCAGTGAGAGGGACGGCGAAGTTCATCATAAAACGAAAATTAAGGCCCATTATAGGTTATAATTTTTTCATTTTATCCGATACGAAATTATTATTGGAAATAAATGTAATAAAACCTTCATAAGGAACAGTTCTATCATCACGCATAAACACTCACTTATTACAAGATTTTTTGCATGTATTAATAAGAAAATTCCCTTTTACAGCCGTCCATAAAACGGAAACAATTCTTCGAGTTTTCCGCGGGGTTCCCGTTTTCTCATATACGCTTTCCACATAAAATTCCTTAGACCCGGTAAATACTAAAATAAAATAAATATCTAGGTGTAATATATTCGTCGAAATTTACGCCAATGCTGTAGTAAAATTTTATCATCCGACGTTGTCAGCAGGATAAATTCCTGCGGTTAAAACCAGAAATCCTGGAATAAAATTTTTCAGTTTTGTCTATTTGTTCTAGAATCTACAGAAATATTTGATTATGGATATTTTTATTCGTTTCAATGATATTTGCTAAATATTTCATTTTACTTTTTATCCTATAATTACCTTCATCTACAAAATTGTTGATATGATATTTTTTAATAACAAGTGAAACAAGTAAAAATTAGTCGAAATAGTACCTAATTTAAGTTAATTGATTTGATTTTATTCGAGTTCCCCTTTGGGAAAAAGCGATAAAGCCGGTGCCACAAGACTTGCATGCGCTTATTAACAGAACAAGGCTGGCACTTATTAATAATGTTTTCGATACATTTTGTTAATTGGACTTATTGTTTACACTGCTATCAGATATTCGTTCGATTTGATCGCGTTTATAAATTGAATTAGTCGGAAACTATGATGTTGACGTGCTTCTTTTATTGCACACAAGGTTTATTTATCCTAAAATTAACCTGAAACGAGTAATTTTTGTAATGCGCTTTTCTACAAATAGACAATGGGAAAGCAATTTAATAAATTAGACAATCCTAAACCTATTATTAAACTTGATAAATTTGAACTACAAAAATACCTACATTATTATGTATACATAGATACATGGTTTTAATTAAGAATAAACGATTCATTCGCTTTGATGTGAGAATAATCTTTTGTAGCACCTACTCGCGTTTACGTAGTTAATTTTATCCAAAATTATTTAGGTATATTAATGAATCTTTCGTACAAACATCTTTTCTGAATTAAAAAAAAAGTTTAGCACAAACAATCTGATCGTTTGTGTCAACTCGGAATGATAGATGAGGTGTACTTTGCATGAGCAGAATTCGTGTTGACGACAAGTTAAGAGATTATATTTGTCGAGGTTTTATATTCGTCCCGTAAATTTGTGATGAATCGTCATAGATTTCGGGATCGCAATTTCGTTGATTCATTAATTAATAAATCGAATCGTCGATGAGAAACTACCACGTTCACGTGTTTGTAACCTGTAAAGTAGAAATAAAATTGGAATGAAACTGGAAATTCTATTATTGTTATAAAATACGATTTTGGGACTGCGACAAGTCCAGTAGGGGATAAAATTAACAGTTTATTTTTGACTCTTGTCGCTACATACATCCTGTATTATACTTACGCTTCATATCTCATACACAAGATATAGGAAAAAGAAGAGTTTTTACTTTGTGTACTAATAAAAACCATGTGGAGTAAGAAGCACATAAAGATAGCGACGACTGAAAGTGACGATCCTTTGAATTTCCACAATACTC